AAACAAATTCCTTCGTATTCGCATTCCATTTACTTATACGTACTATTTATAGGATGTTTTATAGTTTGATCACGGAATGTAGATATTTGGTGATTGTTGCTATTATCTTTTAACACTAATTTTACCCGAGCTGCCCAAAGATATTTTTAAAAATTTTAGTTTTGAATTATTTTCTAAATTTAATCATTTTTCTCGATTGACTTTTTGACTTTTCCTATAGTGATTATAAAATTAATTTAGCGGTATATGTTTTTATTAGATTATAGTAAGTAATTTAATAGGTTTTATTAAATTACATTTTGTAAAAATGGGTAGGTAGATATATATAAAAGGGCGATAATAATAGCATTAAGGAGGAAAAGTAAGCAACGCTTTGCTTTTAATGACCTCAGAGCTGAAACAAAGCATGTTTCGTACTTATTACATGTATTTCAACAAATTTAAACGATTTTTGTATCTTTTATAATTGATCAGTAGCATTATAAAGTGATAGAACATGTTTTGTTTTATTACAGTTATTGCGTTATATAAGTATAATATTATTTATGTTGTAAAACAAAACTTGTCCAGTTTTAGTCTAACTTTTCAACGCTTTCAAAATCTTTTAAAATCACTTTTCTCAAAATTTCTCTGATATGTTATGCTGATATAATATGTTATATATAATATAATTTTTGCAATAATAGTTTAAATTTTTTAAACCCTAATAATAGTAAATAATACCATTACAAAGCCATGTTTTTCATTTATCTTACTGACGTGTTCTTTCTTAGTAATTAAGTAACGTACTCTAAAACGGTTTATGGTCTTTTGTCTGTTCATAAACCTTTTATGTCACTTTTAATAACTGTCTCTAACAGGAGAATTGGTTAAAGTTGATTTTTCTACATTTGTCACAGATACCGACAACGCGTTATGCGGAAGCTGGAAGTATAATAAAAACAAGTCAATGAAACGTCCAATTAAATCGATATAAATATTCCGAGAATTAAAACGAAGTATTTAAATATCACATTTAAAAGTGGAAACCAAACACACAGAAAATAAATGAAATTTTGTTTACATCAACTACAGTACACGTTACGACAAACGTGTAAAACTGACAAACGGAGAGTTACCCCGGAATCTTGCTAAACATGTTAAGATCCTAAAATTTCACCGTATCAACGCGTTGATTCACTCAAAACCTAAAAGTACACAAGAAGCACGATGCGTATAAACACTGTACGTAGACACATCATACGAGATTAATCACAAATAAATTTACTTTTAAAAAAGACGATTATCATCGCGTTTGTTCCGGCAAATCGAACACGACGAAACATGACGGAGACAAGTACTTAAGTCCACTTCCTCCATTTTCTACAGACAAAAAATAATTGCAAGATACGAGTGTCTTGGCCGAAGAAATATTGATGCAATCTCAACGCTGCACAGGTCTTCGCCGACGTTCCAAATCTTTTATTTCTTCGTTGGAAACAACGCGCATCGTCTACGAGCAGTTCCGCCGTTTCTGTACGTGTGTCGCGCCACATATTATTAACTTTGTAACGTACTGAAAAGAGGTTGTCGGTATGTGTTTCAGCTCCGAGGATAACCGTGAGCACGCTGGAACGCTAATATTGCCAAGGATCCTGCCAAATTGTCGCAATAAGCATCCCAATGGCGGCTTCTCGCGACACCGCATCCTGATACGTTCTAGCCGGTCGTAGAAGGGCGTCGCGCAACCTGCTTCTTCCCAGTGATTATCAACCCACTGCTGCGGAGAGTTAATCGAGCCGTCGCGTCGCGAGAAGAAATTTTGGCTTCATTGCTCGTTGAGAAACTCCTTCCCCCTAATGTAGACTCGCGATAAAGCCGGCTCGTTGCTTGTTTTCTCTTTCATTCCGTTGCTGGCTGATCGTCACGGCTGTACCACGATTCTTTCTGGTCAAACTTTCATCCTCGACAAATTCCATTTGCCAGGTTTCTAGCATTTACTGGTGACTTAACGGGCGGCGAAATGGTTTCAGTATCATTCGTGTCTCGTTATAAAGGATACGAAATAGTATGGCGTGCTTTATTGGGAATCACAGCAGGAGATTTTTAAATTGGTTTGGTAGAAACTTTAATTAATCTTGTGAAGGTTTAAAATTAAATCGTTTAATTTTTAATTTGCAATATTGGATAAGTTATTCCCAGAGTTTGATCATTTTAAATTCCTTATGATTGTAATGTGACGATTGGAACAATTTCAAGCGCATGAAAAATCAAGGCTGATGTATATTTAAGTAATTGAATACAGAAAAAGTAGGTCAGACTAAAATAATTTCGATTGAGAGCTTAAAAAAGTATTAAACGAAAGAAAAAGTACGAGATATATAATATTTCACTATCGATTATTCTTGTATAAATATTAATTACATAAAGAAACTGTTTCATGTTTAATTTGAAAATGAAAACTTGAAATCTAGATTGAGTAAGAAAGAAATTTAGAAAGGTAAAATAAATTAATTTAATATAAACGTTAAAATAGCAAGAACTTCTTATTAAGTGCGACATGTAAATGCCTACTTGCAAATAGAAACACAATTTGTTTAGCCTTTATTCCCAGCAAGATGTGAATGTACAGTACAATGATCCAATGAATGCTCGCACAAAAGTGATTGAATTATAATAATTTCAGAAAGCAATGTTTCCACTTTGAAAAACAGTGCTTGGCGCACAGAGCGACGCAGGGAAGGTATTACAGCTGGCGACGTTTCTATACATTCCCCAACGTGCACACGGTAACACGCGTTATGTCGTTAGAATGTAATAACGTTCGTTGGAGTAGTAGCAACGACATTACCAGTACATTAAGGTTAATCGAATATCGGTGGCTCCTCATCTTTGACATCTTTGTGCAGCCGCATCTCGCAGTAATATTCGACTGTCTCTCTTGTTCCAGTGATTTTCATGGCACGGAAATAGTGGAACAGGCGAAAAGGCGTTTCCGCGAATGTCAGTCGTAAACGCGAATCAATGACAGGAAGTTTATTGAATCGGAGCCATGGTTTTTGAATTAATCCAATGGCTGGCTCAGATGCGTCACGCCGCAGCGTTCCAGTGAATGGTAGAATTGAAATGTTCGCGCCATCTGACGATTTCAAATGCTGTAAACGTCGATCTCACATCGTCGTTTTTTTAACGCCTTCTAAAACCACTACCGCAAGAACGGTATCTAAATAGCTCATATCATTTACAGTGTTCTTTCATATAATCGATCAAAGTATTTGACAACTATCCCTCCATTTATGCGATACTTTTATATGTGGTAAATTATAACATTACTTACGCGATATCAATTTACGAGACCTGAATTTAGTGACACGGAATAAAATTACTTTTGTATTCTGAAATGTCATTATTATTTCTTTTTATTAAGCTATGTGAAATAAACATGTGTTATGTGCTGGTATAATGTGCCAGCTTTTCTTTCCAATATTTTGATTTTCTCTATACCGACAGATTTTATTTACGCGATTTTCATTCTTGTAAATCGAATTACGTAGAACGGATACTCTGTGTAAATGGAGGGAGAGGTGTACTTCTTCAATGAAGTTAATGATGTTGAAATATGTTGTTGATCCCGAAAAATTTTTTTCTATACACACCATAAGCAGTCTCCTTTACTTAATAATATTCGATAAAATATATCCGGAAAAATGTACTTTATAATATAATATATCATGAAGTATCATAATATGATACACTCCATCAAGTGCAAAATAACATTTCTTTACAGATTCGCTTGGTATTGATTATCTTATTGAGATTAATAGGGTTAACACAATTTACCCAATCGCACGGGCAGTAAAATTATTTACAAAATGAAAGTCGGCGAAATATTCTATTCTTCAGGCAAATATATTCCCGCGCTAAAAGTAATTCATATAAAACGTTCCCAACAACGCGCGTCACGAATGGCATAAATACAGCGAATTACTGTTCAAGTCTTTAACAGCTTCAAAAAAAAGAACCATCTTCACGAGAATCTCTTATAATTTATTAACCGCTCCTAAAAGGTCGTAAATTATTTTTGTGCAATATCGTCCACCGTAACTTTATTTATCGAACTTATCCGTCTTTTCAGCAGATCGTTGATCGAGATACCGTTAGATCCGTGGTGTTGGAAAAGCTGACGATCACGTGTTATAAATTCATTCCAGCGGTACGTGTAAATGTCTGTTTTTCCAGGGAATATAAACCGCGATGCAACGAGACGAAAATAGCAGTCGAATGGAGGACAACGTGAGCGGTTGGTGACAGAAAAGTTATTGGATCGTGTCTGCGGTTTAATAGGGTTATTGCAGTGGCCAGTCCGAAGCTATCAGCTCGCGGAGCGACGTCTCGAAGAGCCTCGAAATTAAACATTTCTCTCCGCGCCGGTCTGCTGTAGCGCCGCAAGTATTTCCACCCTGGCTTATACGGATTTCTATCAGTTTCCCTCGTCGCCCGAGCTGCAGGAGCATCGACATTTTTGTCGTGTACACTCCTTACCCTTCCACGGCGAACATCTCGTGTGCACACTCGAAATGTTCTATTTGTCGCGTTGCTCTCTTTGCGGTAAAGCAAACGCAATATTCGTTCAACGCAATCTCCCTTGAAATTCTTATTTAAATTGGAAATATCGCGTTTCATCCGTTTTTTCAATATTATTTTCGAAATGTATTTATGAGAATTCGCGTGAATTCTACGAAAGTGAAGGTGCAGCTTCGGTTTATGTGAGTATATAAATTTACGTTTATTTTGTATTGCATAGATGATAAAATTGTACATTGTTAATATTCGTATTCCTTATCCTTTCAGTACCACTTGAGTCATTGCGGAAGTATACATGGCTTATTCTATACATAACTAGAACTTTAATAATATTCAGAATACTTTGAGGACAGTTTAAGTGATGCTGGTCATCGCCGGATCGCAGTGCACAGAACAAGATGAATATCTCATAAAATAACTTATGGATACGCTGTTGATTAAGCTGCGTTTATTACTTTGATGATCCAGTCTTCCACTTCAGCTACAGCAGTGTACGCAGTTGGATATTCAAATAGACATGAACGACTCCACGATGCTACACCTGTAAAATTATTGTATACAAATTGTGCTGCAATTAATAAATGAACTATCTGTGATAATATCGTCCGTTAAAATTTCATATTTCGCAACACGTAATAATCAAATGCGTTTCGATTTCTGATTCATCTTCATTTGCAGTGAATGTACGCGAGCTAAGAAGGTACTTGCCGCACGATTAATCAAACGTCGGTACCACGTCCCACGATGTCACCGAATTATTAATGAAACCGTCGAGTAAGATATTAGAACTTACCAAACAAGGCGCCGTTAAAAACGAGAGGCGAACCTGAGTCTCCGACGCAGGCGCTGGCGTGGTCTGATAAGGCGCAAAACATTCTGTGCGTTAATAAGCTACCCCCGTTGGCTTGCTGGCAGTCCTCGTTATTAATTTTCTGCATCGTGCTGCATAAAAGTTCATCCGAGACGGGACCTAGTAACTAAACAGCTCCGTTGCAATATCCCGTTTCAAGACACAACATTCCGGAAAGCTTTAGCGTCGTTCTTACCTCGGACGCACCCCACCCGAGCACTTGCACTTGAGCGCCATCTTGGATCTCCGAGTGCAGCATGGGTAATTGGATCGGCTGCTTCGTTTCGTCGAATTTTATTTTTTCGGAGAGCTGCGCAGAAGGATACTTTGTTTTTCATTTTTATGTAACATAATCGTGTTTAGAATTTTTATATTTCGACACTTTGAATCTTGTATGACGAATTCCTGGTCATTTTGACCCAGCAAAAGCCATTGTTGTACTTACATCTATATGTATTCGGCAATTTACTAATTTATTTGTATCATTATATACACGTGTAATTATAATAGGTATCATGTGTGCCTTTGTAAAATTTGTGTAAAATGAACATTTTATTATTGATCATTTGTTGTTGGAGAGTTAAAAGCAATAATTGCACCTATCCTTTTTATTTACGGTAGCGATTCTTCCATTAAAACAGATGCTATTTCGAAAACTAATGATTACTCTTTAATGATAAGAAAAATAGCAAAATATACAAAATTGTAAACGGAGTGTAAAGAAAACGTAAATAAACAGTATATAATATCTCGAACATAATAAAATTAGTTAACCGCATTCGATACCCGCAATGGTTATCACTTGCGACGGTGATCTTATCAGTTCAAATATAAATAAAAGCGGGCTTAAATTAATCATTAGTGGAATCGAGAAGTTCAATTAGACTCTTGAAGAGATGGATCAAAATAGGCCAAAATGTAATTCTCCAAGCATTCAATATTCAATATTTTTGAATTTCTCTCGTAAATAAATTCGTTGCATTGCATAAATATTCTTTCAAAACATTCCTTAGTGATCAAGTTTACTGGCAAATGTTATACGTGTGCTTGAAAATTCTCATCTAGCTAACGAAATGTGTAAGCATGTTTACCTCGACTAAGGCTACGTCGTAATCATAATTATGCTGGTTAAAAGCGGGATGGATTACAACGCCTTTAACACCGTAGATGTCACCGTTCTCATAATAACAAGTCGTGCCGGCCCTTATGTGAAAGCTTTTCACGTATATTCTGTAAAAGAGGATGAAATGGAAAATAAGAAAATAAAAGAAAAAAAGAAAAAAAACCATAAACGGATGAAGAGAGGTATCGAAATCGCGTGCAATCGTATATGCAAAGCCAATTGTACAAAACAATACGATATATTAATCTTGCCTGAGAGCGCACTGTGCTGACGTTATTATCCACTTTTCTCCGACGATACCGCCGCCGCAAAAATGCTCGACTTCGTGGCCAAAAAACGTGCCATTGTTCTGCAACGAGACCTGCGAAGAGCCAGCGATTTTCTAAATGCCAAATCGACTGTGAAGATCGATCGCGGGTTATACTAACTGCAAATGGATATTTCTCTATGGTGGCTTTCTCTCCTCCGATAATTCTTGATTCAAGGGTTCCTGGTGGCCACGCTGACTCTGGACTGATTCTTTCTTGATAATTCTCTGTGCATACAACGTTCAATTCAAGGGAATGTTACACACAACTGGCCACCATCACATTGACTGCCACCATTATGTAGAAAATATTAACACTAAAACTAGCAGACGGGTCAGAATGATTCGTTTCTAAGTTTTTCTTTTTGCAATTATTAAAAGAATAACAGATGTTTCTCAGAACAATTATTAAAGAAATTGATTTAGCAATACGCAAACTGAATTGTAAACCAATGAAAATATCGATAGATGCATTCTTGGAGTTAATTCTGGATGCCAACATACTTTTTTTCGTTTATTGATATAATTTGACCGCAGGAATACATTTTTGAATATATTTCGTACAAGTTATATGTTTCGAGTACTTTTTGCAAGTCTTTTATCGTCATTCGTATTTGAATGGCGAAGCCTTTGAAGAAAATATTTAAGCAGTTTTATATGTAGGGCTACGCCGTTAATACATGAATGATATGGCAGTTAATTTGCTATGGGACGCGCTAGTACGTGCAATCTGTTAAATTTTCGATCATTTCTTTATGAATACTTATCAATCATGATACATTATTTAATGTTTTTATTTGTCTGATTAGATGTTTGTGTGTGTCACTTTCATTTGTGAGCTTTGACTTTCTATTTAATTTACTTTTAAGGAACTGTTAGTCGTTTTTTTCATGTTCAATTACTTGGATAATTTTTATATCAAAGTTAATATGTTGGTTATAAAAAACTAGTACCCTGTTTAAAAATTCAGAAATTACGTTTGTTTTTATATCTCTCAATAAAAAACAGTAAAACCTATTTTATATTCATTTTTTTCTGTATGTACAATAATTTGGTATTATAAGAAGTAGTATTCTTAACACGTTGAATACTATGGGGGTCACCGGTAACCCCCGACCAAATCGAATTACTATAGTTTACTCAATTAAACGATGATTATTCGAAAACATTTCTATATTATAAATAACGTTACCTATGGCATTCAGCCTAATGAACGTGCAGTAATAATAATGCAATTCAATCGAATGATGTAATATTACATTTATTTGTTTTTAATCGTTTAATATTTATATTCTTAATTATTTATTTTAGTTATTTAATAACAATTCACAGAAAAAATACTGCCTAATGCGTGACTACTTTTCATAATAAAACATGTAACTAATGTTATTTTGTAGAAAAGTATAATTTGCGGCAATGTATTAATAATGAAATATACTTTACTTGGGCTGTACAGCGAACCCGCTAACAATATTGAACAACTAAGAATCACCAGCGCCGATAACACATGCATCGTGACCACGTTTGAGGTCATCGGGAGAAGCGAATTCCTTATAAAGCCACGGAAATGTAATTGTTGCAATAAAAAACATCCCACGATTAACGCACTCTGTTTCCATTTATCTGGGAATTGCTAATGCCACTAATGCTGCGACATTAAGGGCTAAATCGTCATCACGTCGTAGTCCCCATGTTTTTCACGTACGGCTAGAAAATGAGTCAGGTTGTTAAGATAACAACGAAGACACAGTAGCTCAACTATGTCGCAACTGATTGTAAATTAGAATCATACGACTAATTGGTCTGTTGGTTTCGTTATGCAACCGGTATTAATTAGGAATCCCAACAATAAATCGCATTTTCGTATACATTTCATTGTTGTATATGGTGGACCACATTAATATATTGTATTAATATATAAAATATAAATGATGCATTAGGTATTTATATATGAAACATCCGATTTTATAATATCAACTTTATTAACAGTTTTTCTTTAAAAATATTTGCATGGTTCCAAATGTTTTACATACTTATTATTTGAAATCCTGCAATCTTTACGTTGAGATTACCATTCTCTTTTAAATTAGAGTTTATAAAAAGTTCCTAAAACCAACATAATCGTTTCCGAAAACGTAAATTTTTATCAAAACAGGACCCGAAAGTAGTAAGTCGTTAATAAAAATACATAAACCACAGTGGTGCTTACATCGGTTGATAAAATTCAAAGCTGTATTTGGAAAGAAGATATGTTTCTATAGATTTAACATTAAAATTCTGTTGTTTCATACACGACAGTCAAATATTAAATATTCCGTAATTCGCATCGACGATAATTACTCATTGTAAAGTTAAGTCGTCCGGGAAAGTAGCGCGCGGACGCGTATTCCGCCGAGTATGTAATTTATTCACGATCCTGATTATTTTCACTTTGTAGGTCCATTTCCGTCGGGACATCGAGTTTATTCGGCGGAAGTGTACCAGCGTATTATCTTCAAAAATAATTTCAATTATGCGCCGGATCGCGTCCCGTTGTCACGGAACGAGTCGTCCGCTCGAGGTAAATATTCCGTCTGTTAGCGACAGCCATGTGCACGCGTGTGCGCGTGTTTCACGCATCAACGGGGCCAAGTAACACGATATCCATTATTAAATTAACATATAATCGTTGACCATACAAAATTGGCCGTTGATTCCCGTTCGCTGGCATTAAAATATAAATCGGCTGAGCGCGATATCACGACCCGTTCTTATTACTCGTTCCCCGTAGTTTATTACGATTAATAAATCGACGAAATAACACGGACCTCCCCGGGGCAGCTCCACATTATTCGACGCATCGTTTCCGGAATCGCTGATAACCTTCCAATTTCGCGTCCGCCATTAAGACCCAGTCATCGGTAATTTACATAATTGTCAACGCAAGTTTTTGATCGAACCGGCCATTCAGTGATTTCAGTTGGCCGGATCCATCAGCGTATTAATCGCAGTACCGACGCGACGCAACGCCCTGATTACTAGACCGAAGAGCACGAAATTTCGTTTCTATGAGGTATTTTTCATTTTGTGGGATGGTAGCGGGAACGTATAGCATAGCGGAGCCATGCCCGTACGAACTAATTACAATGTGCATTTGAACTGGTCCACAAAAGTATTTTAAATATAAAGCCAATCGGATAGACGGATTCTGATCTAGAATTTTCAAGAAAACGACTTTTCTTTTTTGCTTTGTATTTCACTTCGTTGGCGTTTGAAGAAAGCACAGTGGAAAGAAAATTTCAAAATTTTGAAAATTAGCGAAGCTGTAGGCATTCTAGTGGCTACCGCCGCTAGTTGCACTTGTCAATAAAACACTTTCCCTTCATTTTCTTAGAAATTTAATTTTTATTTATTAAGGTTTGGAATTTAATTGAAAATTCTGTTTTCTTTCGTTCATTTAACTTTATATCTCCCTAAATTCCGATGTTGTCGGAATTATCAGTTTTTCAATTTTTGTTTTTTATTCTGTCTCTGTTTGCATGAGAAAAATTTACCGTCTAACTTGTTTATCTTTATTTTATAATCAGTTTTTTGTCTGGTTACGGTAGAAATAGATATAATATATCTACGAAGTGTCGGTACGTTTAGTGTTAAGATTCATCGTCGAGAAACTAGAAGTTCCAAGATCTTAGGTGGACTGTCTGAAGACCGTTACGAAACAGCACAAAAGTCTACTGTTTCACAATAATATAATATTAAATAATCTTCTCTATGTTCAAAATATACGTAATCGAATGCCGGAAACTGCAGGTAATTATTTCCTTTATAATGTATACAAGTAGAGTCTCAATTAATGTCAGGAATAAATCAGCCAGTCACTGGGCTAATCGATTAACTCCACAAAACAAAAAGTAGAGAAAAGTGATGCATTAGTTATGTATTGATTTTGAAAGTTACCCTTTAAATGCAAAATCAAATAATCATTGTAGAATGTATTTTATTTTATTATTACAGGTACAGCTTCAATCTAATGAACATGTAAAATGCATTAAATAATATATATGTTTGAAGTAATTTTTATTATTATAGCAATATTTACATGGCCAAAAGATTTTTTATTATTTCGTGGTACCAAATCCAGTCTTAATGAAATTTATTTTAAAGATATAAAGTTAAGAACCAATGAAAGGCTTCAATAATGAAATCTTAAAAGATTTGAAAAGTGGAATTAATCGATTTACCCAATGGGCGGCTCCAACTCTAAAAGTTGATCGTACTGTTCGAATTTTTACTATTTGAATACATTTATTATAAGAATTGGTTCTAATTTTTAAAAGGTAAACAACGAAAAATTTTAAATGTATATTTACATAGATGTTTTATTCATTTCTAATAAAATAAACATGCTCATTGTTTTACGAAGTATTTTAATAAGGTTTGCATTTCCGTTTGCTTCTCCATATCTTCGTACATATGATAATAAGCAGGCAGTCTTTGTCTCAATTTTTATGATTTTCCTTTTTTACAAAAGACTGTATCGATGACACATGTCTCGCAAATCTCTTATTACCTGAATATATATCCACATTAAATGAAGTCTGATAACATTTTATTATTTGCACTAAATCAAATATTGCATTATTTTAATCTGCATTAACCGAGACTTACTTGTACAGAATATCATGAAAAAAATATTTTGTCCCGTTTTTATTGTATATTTTAAGTTGCGTCAACTCAATATTTTGTCTTTTTGTAGTCAGCCTAAGGGCATGATTTGAATTCAATTGCGAATTTATTAATACTGTTTGAGTTATGAATGTAAACTTTTTAAATTCCTCTGTTATCGTTGGTTGCTAAATTATATATCTATCAGGAATAGGGAACGATGGAATGAAATTTCACGGGAATATTGTACAAATTAAAAACATATTAAAGCAAAAGCCAAAACATATTAAACCTATTTTATGCTGACAGTTTATAGATCTAGCATACTGTTACGTTCGACTTACTCGTCTTGAATCATAAACTAATCGACAGCGAAGCGACTTAGGATACTTCTACAATCATAAACACAAATAAATAGTTATAAATCACGACGATGAATGACAAATCACAACTTTCCTCCACTCAAAAATGCAACTGACCAATCCTAAAAAACCCAAGTTTATATAAAATATGACGCTACGGGAACCGAAGAGAACACGGCGAAACCTCTCGAAGGACACAACTCCAGAAACGCGCTACCTTCATAAACGTCGCGAAACCAAACTTTGTACGAATCTCCTCAAAATCTGTGTAGTTACAATAAAGTGTTTCTTTTATACTAACAACTTGCCGTGTGTCATTCTCCGATCGAGACAAGAATTCAACCATTTACACGGAACGTTACGACAACGTAACACATACCTTTGTTATAAATCCGATAATTTGGAGAAATAAATAAATATTTATTATACAATGTTATAATGTTTGAACATATTATTTAAAAAAAATATATATTAATTGTGTTTTATGTTATTACCTATTGTATACAATTGTATTATGATCATTGTTTCAATTATGTTGTCCACTGTATTTGAAACAGTATTAGGTATCCATTACAAAAGGTCACTTCGTTCAGATAACAGAGCAATCAAATATTCAGCTACTGCAATAATGGATACTGTATTTAATGCTGTGAAAGCATTTCCGTGTACTTTGTGCAGGCAGATGAAAGCCTATTTTTATAGAACCCATTTATCGGACCAAGAATTTAAAGGACGGAGTTATATAATTATTTAAAAATAATACTCTAGTAAAATAAAAACTAATTATTTGAAATTATAAGAAGCAAATTATTATGACGTGTTTTCGAAGTTTCTCGTTACTTACAAACTTTTAGTTTGCAAAAGCATGAATGGATGAAGAAAGTTTGGTGTCTTGAAAATAGCCTCTTGATTAACTTCACAAACAAAATGATTACATTTGTACATGAAACAGGAGTAGAAGAGTTTTTCTCTAAAGATTTTAAACTGAAAGGATACGTATTAATTACATTAATGAATATTCAATTTTAATATAATTTTCTTAATTCACTATGTAGCTTTGTATATTTTAGTTATTTTTCTCTTTTAATATTTAGTGCAACCAATCGATGCAAATGAAATTTATATTAACTATTTTGGAGAAACAAACTCGAATTTTCAACTTAACCTTCGACGCACTATGTTATTTAAAATCATTTCAAATACAAATATATAATTATTATTATAATTTTCTTTTAAATTTTTTAAGATTGTACAAAAATACGTATTTGCAACAAATTCAAAGTGAATTCGATCACATACAATATAAACAAAAAATTTCTTAACAATTACCAAAGGGAATAGAGTTAAATTTCTTTTCTCCGGAGAAATCTAGAAGACTGTGCGAACGTGCAAAACCCGGAAACTCATTCACACATCACACTTGACAAAGGAAAAAATTACAAACCGGCGATCGAGGCCTTACGATGACTATCATCAGAGGATTCACCGCAATGATAACACAAGCAGAACTTCAGTCGGTGTCAACAAAGTCTCTAATGAGTCATTAGCAAATACAGAGGATCAAAAACAGACGTCGTCGAGCGTGTAAACATCAGTGGTAGGGTTCTGCATTAAAAATACAGACATCGGAAAACACGGGTA